GGAAATGATAATTTTTGTTTGAAAACCGTATTCTACTCGAAACCAAAAATGTACCAAATTATTTATAGTAGATTATGTTTTTTGATGTTATGTATTTCTCCGGTTGTTTTTGCAAGTTTTCGACTCTCTTGTTTTGATCTTCAATAATATTCAGACGATTAAAAAAAAAAAACACGACCGAAAAAACCAAATTTCGAATTGAACACTCTAATAATATTCATGGGTCAGTGAGATAAACTTGTCGAAAAGCCCAACATTTAATAATGGGCCTAAACTGGGTTAAAGCTGGCCCGGTAAAGAGTTCTCTTTGAATTTAGACTCTTTGAGTATCGCTAGTGTGACGACTGGATATGAGATAACACACGTAGACGAAGCTGAAGCAATCACTCAAGCTTATGGCTTCCCTTTAATCCGACGACAATACTTCATTCTATTCGAAATCGGATTTTGATTCTCTTCAACTATCTAAAACCAGCAGCAGAAGAAGAAGAAGAGCTTCAATGGCGGCCACATCCTTCAACTCGTTGCTACGTTCTTCGAATTTCCTCGGTTCCCAGATCATAATCTCAGCTCCAACACCAAAAACCACGACAAGACCATCGATTCCTGTCTCTGTCTTATCCCAAAGGAAATACAAGATCTCTCGATCGGAAAACTCTCCCAAAGTCATGAAATTGTTGCCATCGCAAGCAGCTGCGTTAGCGACTCTGCTGTTTTCTTCAGCGTCTCCTCAGGCTTTAGCGATTGACGAGCCACCTGCACCTGTCATCACTGTTGAATCTCAGGCAGTGAATCCGTCTCCGTCGGCTTCGGCGTTTGCTCAGAAAGTACTGATGACTGCGCCGAATCCTCAGGGTCAGTCATCACCGGACCTTCCAGATGGAACTCAGTGGCGTTACAGCGAGTTCCTAAACGCTGTGAAGAAAGGTAAAGTTGAGAGAGTTAAATTCAGTAAAGACGGGTCTGTTCTTCAGCTTACCGCCGTTGATGGCCGTCGCGCGTCCGTCATTGTACCTAACGATCCTGACCTAATCGACATCCTGGCTATGAACGGAGTCGATATATCGGTTTCGGAAGGAGAATCAGGAAACGGCTTGTTCGATTTCATCGGCAATTTGCTTTTCCCTCTGCTTGCTTTTGGTGGATTGTTCTACCTCTTCCGGGGAGGACAAGGCGGTCCCGGTGGTCCTGGAGGTCTCGGTGGTCCGATGGATTTCGGACGATCGAAATCCAAGTTCCAGGAAGTACCGGAAACTGGAGTAACATTTGGAGATGTCGCAGGAGCGGATCAAGCTAAGCTTGAGTTACAGGAAGTTGTTGATTTCTTGAAGAATCCAGATAAGTACACAGCTTTAGGTGCAAAGATCCCTAAAGGGTGTTTGCTGGTTGGTCCTCCGGGGACGGGGAAGACGCTTTTGGCCAGAGCTGTGGCTGGAGAAGCAGGAGTGCCTTTCTTCTCGTGCGCTGCGTCGGAGTTTGTGGAGCTTTTCGTTGGTGTTGGTGCGTCTAGGGTTAGGGATTTGTTTGAGAAGGCGAAATCGAAAGCACCTTGCATTGTTTTCATTGATGAGATTGATGCTGTGGGTAGGCAGAGAGGAGCTGGTATGGGAGGTGGAAATGATGAGAGAGAACAGACGATTAATCAGCTCTTGACTGAGATGGATGGATTTTCTGGTAATTCCGGTGTCATTGTTTTGGCAGCCACCAATAGACCGGATGTTCTCGACTCGGCGCTTTTGAGACCGGGGAGATTTGATAGGCAAGTGACTGTGGATAGGCCTGATGTAGCTGGCAGAGTCAAAATCCTTCAGGTAGAAGAATGTGTCCATTGTTTTTGTTGATGTGAGAAACAAGTACTGGAGAAATGTGAAAATAATGTTGAGTGGATTGTTTGTTATTGCAGGTGCATTCTAGAGGGAAGGCAATTGGTAAGGATGTGGATTATGAGAAGATTGCGAGGAGAACTCCGGGTTTCACGGGTGCGGATTTACAGAACCTGATGAATGAAGCAGCCATTCTTGCTGCTAGACGTGAGCTTAAGGAGATAAGCAAGGACGAAATATCTGATGCTCTTGAAAGGATCATTGCTGGTCCTGAGAAGAAGAACGCCGTTGTCTCTGATGAGAAGAAAAGACTCGTTGCTTATCATGGTTAGTTACTGGTGCTCCAATGCCTCACCTTCTCGTTTTTTCAATGGTTTTCTGGTTGTGTTAACTGCTCACTCTTCAATGAACTTGGAATTTGCAGAGGCTGGACATGCTTTAGTTGGTGCACTGATGCCGGAATATGATCCTGTGGCTAAGATATCGATCATTCCCCGTGGCCAAGCTGGTGGGCTCACCTTTTTTGCCCCTAGCGAAGAGAGACTTGAGTCTGGATTGTACAGCAGAAGCTACCTTGAGAATCAAATGGCTGTTGCTCTTGGTGGAAGGTTAGTTTTTACATTAGAAATGCACGGGGTTTTCATGTACAAGAATATGGTCCAAGTGTTAAGCTATCTTTGTGATGTTTTCGACTATTGCAGGGTTGCAGAGGAAGTGATATTTGGAGACGAGAATGTGACGACTGGAGCATCAAACGATTTCATGCAGGTATCGCGGGTGGCTCGCCAAATGGTTGAGAGATTCGGATTCAGCAAAAAGATTGGGCAAGTTGCAGTTGGTGGAGCAGGAGGAAACCCTTTCTTGGGTCAACAAGTAATAAACAAACTCGATACTCGGTTCAATCATGTAATGTGACATTTCCAACTCAAGACATGTTTTCTTTTTGTATTCGCAGATGTCATCGCAGAAAGATTACTCAATGGCAACAGCCGATATAGTGGATGCCGAGGTGAGAGAGCTGGTGGAGAAAGCATATGCGAGGGCTAAGCAGATCATTACAACTCAAATTGATATCCTCCACAAGCTTGCACAGCTCTTGATTGAGAAAGAAACTGTGGATGGAGAAGAGTTCATGAGCCTTTTCATTGACGGACAAGCTGAGTTGTATGTTTCTTAATTCAATTAATTTGGCTTGTAATACCATGTTACTATTATTAGCTTCAAATGTATACAATACTGGGTGTTCATAAACCGTGACAGGTACAGTTATGTTTCTCTCTTTATTTGAAACTTCCTATGTAATACTCTCACTCTGGTGTTGATCGTACTCTTAAAGGCCTTTACGGAAAGATGAAATCGAATTCCCATTGTAAAAACATAAAGTTACCCCTGGAAAATTATAAATTCGTACCAATTGTACGTGTTACCTTGTGGCGAAGGCACGTCGAACGAAAGTATACGTGTCTGTAACACACTTTCATACAAATAGATCAACCACTTCGAGACGGTTTCGACTTCAAGACAAAGTGATAAATAATGGAGGAAGAGCAGAAGAAAGAGGAAGGGAATTATAAGTACGAGGAGCGTCAGCGTCAGCAGCAGCAGCCACCGTATGTCTCACGGATGGAGCCGGTGACACACGAAGCGTATGGAGGTGGGCTTTACGGTAAGGACGACGACGAGAAAGAGGACAAGAAGAAAGAGGTAGAGCCTCCGCAGCATAAACCACCAGCCAGCGAGACACAGAGTGCAGACGGGCCTGACGAGTCAAAGACGATGGAGCCGAAGCACAAGCAACCACCATCTTCTGGCGATAGAGACACTGACATCACCGGACAGTCTTACATTCAGTGATGACATAACTTTTTTTCTGTGTTGTAATGTTCCTTTTTGGTTTCTTTCATAACCTGTTTAGTCTTTTCTTAGAAGTTAGAAGAGAAACTGGTAAGAAGCACTATCTAAAGCTTGTGCACCATATGATTAGTGTAAACGAAACCAAATATACAAGAACTAGTAGGTATATTCATAAGATGGGCATAAAGAACAACTCCCGAATGCAACCAATAGACTTTCTTTATAACAAAGCCCTACAGACCAGAGTTGGTTTTAAAAACCAATAAGACAGTTTGGAGGGTTTAAAACCATTGTTAGTTAATGTATTATTACCACGCCATTGAAATGATTACGTTTTACAAGATAGTTGAGATGGGTTTATGGAAGCGTCCAATTAACAGAACTCCTTCAGCTCCAGCTCCTCTGATTAAGCCTGCACCAAGAAAAAAAAACGCAAATAACGATTAAGACACTAACCTGTCTACCGATAAAAGCAATCAAAATCGAAACTGACAAAGTGTGAGAACTCTCACATTTGATGTACTATAAAACAACTGAATGAATTAGAGAGAACTTTCAGATTATAGTTTTGGGTCTGAAACAAAAAGTCTAAACTGATTTCGAAGTAGAGAACACAAGAGTTGGATTGCATATGGAAACACATAGAAAGGAAAACTATTAGTAAAATAGTTATCAAATCTTGTTGCAGTAGAAGAAGAATGTTCAAACAAAAGATTGGCAAAGACCACTAGAGGAAGAATGTTCATAGAGACGAAACCAGGAAGATACCTTACAGATCTATCAATCTAATTCTTTCGATTCATATTCGTAAAAAATATCATAGTTTTAAACTTTTAATGTACCCACTCTTTTCATAGTTCCATGCTTTGGATGTTGTGGAAGAAAATCAAACCTCTAGTTTTTGACGATTCCAAACTTCCAATTATACTAACTTCGATTCTGTTTTTTACAGGTCCGCAACTAAACTACAACATCTGAATTTCACTAACATCTTCCGAACAATCTCCGCCAAACACAAAGATCATATAATCGCTTATGATCGAATTTTAGGTATACATAACGAAAAGTAACCAAATCAATCGGATACTCAAAAGATGAAATCGAGAACAGAGAGAGGTGGAAATCGAAACCTAGTTGTAGTAAAGCTCGAGACCCATCCCGTCATGGATCTCATAGTCCTTGAGAGTGATATGATCCTTATAGATGTTGTACCACTTCTGAATTCGGATCTTCTCCGCTCGAGTTCCGGTTTGAGCAGCAACAAGCTTCTTCAGATCACCGATCGTGTCGTCTTCGTTGCACTTCACCCTTACCTTCTTCCCCAGACGATCGTTGAGCACCACCTCGATCATCTTCTTCGCTCTTAGTACGGATACAACAAACCCTAGCTCTTAATTTCCAAGCCCAGAAAAAAAGGTAAATAAAACTATGTATCAGCTTCTTATCCGCGTCGAATATTGAGACTTTGATTTATATAGACTTGGATATAAAAAATAAAAAAAAGTATTGAATATTTTATTATCAAATCAAAAAAGTATTGGGCTTACAAAGCCCAGTCCACAAATTGGAATAAAACGACGTCGTTACGGTTGTCACTTCTTCTTCTCCGGTTCGGTTCGTGGAAGTGTAACTGTAGAACGAAGAGACGTAAGAAGGAACGGCGAAGTAGAAGTTTTGTTATTCAATTTGTTGCAGAGAATTGAATCGTAGTAAGAAGAGATTCAATTTGTTAGCAGGGTTTAACTTTTTCAATTGGGGATCTTTTGTTTAGTTCCTCACTTCTGTTTCAGGAAAAATTCAGACAATGCCTACGGTGAGTGTTGGCAGAGACCGTTTGTTGTCTGCACTTGGAGAATCCTACAGTAAGTACTAAGAAACCAAAAC